ATGCAGAGACCTGATTAATTTTGGGTTAAATAATTGTGCCTATTAATTACCTAATTTGCATAATTAGTTAATTTTTTGCTGTTCTATGGCTGTTGCACTGATGTCTAAAAACCACTCATTGGATTTCAATGAAACTTTTAAAGAGTACCCATCACATTTCAATGAACCTAGGACTATACACCATATTAGTTTTTGGTAAATATTTATGCTTCTTAATCACCTAATTAACATAATTAATTAATACTGATATCTCAAGTATTGATCATCACATTTGAATAAAACTTGGTAAATAAATGCTCTAGGATAATAGACAGCCTGATTAATTTTGGGTTAAAATCTGTTCATATTAATTCTCTAATTAGAATAATAATTAATATTTTTTGGGTTCTAATCACATTTCAATGAAACTTGGTTCATTGTGCAGACCTTATTAGTTTTACACTTAAATCTGTACATATTAGTTACCTTATTTGCATAATTAGTTTTCTGCGTTTCCATCAATATCTCTAGTACAAGTAATTTTGAATTAATTTTTAATGTGTTTCCAATACACTCAGCACACGGGAGTTCTTTCTAAGTTTTCTTTGATTTCTGGTATTTGTGCATGTCAGTCAAAATTGTGCACATCACAGCTTCTCAATTTTCACCTAGCCTGTATCATCAAAGATGGAAGAGAAAGGTATATTAAGGGGAAAATGCCTGTCGTCATCGTCGTTGTTAATAATTGTTATTGTGTGCACAATAACTTTACTAATTAAATTCTATTCCAAACTTTATCAAAACTTGGTCACCTAATTCATCAGTATAAAATCTTCTCTTAGTATGAATGACAAATGTCCTGCGTAAAAATATCACGCAAAAATTGACAAAATCTGATAAATTATTTTGACTGTTTCTACTTGACTGATCACTGGTGATACCCATTCAAAGGTCACTGATCTCATTGAAAATATGCATTGTTGTCTGTGTTCAATGAAGCAAATCATTTATTACTACCTTATTACCAAACGCTTCAGCGTGGTATTAAGATTTTGTTTTCAGGCTTGGGTGGTACCAAGGTGGAAAATGGTTGCACATATGGGGGGTAATTCCTGGAATTGCAATAGAGAGGGTTCAGGCCGAAATACATATATATAGTGTTTCCATGTTTCGTCTGATATTTCTGTGGTATTCTGCTGCTGTAAATAATGCAAGATTTGTTCCGAAATTCAGTGTGTTATGTGCACTCCAGGGTTATTCGTTTTTTTGCTCAAAACACCCCTATTTTTTAATGGCAGAGTCGAATAGTTTCACTCCCACTGGGAAATCTGCATTGTTACTTGAATGAGAGCTAACTAAACACATTTTCCTGACCGGCGAAAGTGTATGCAACAGCCAATTTTAACAGCCTGTCACGTGATTTTAGTCTGAATGTCAACATCAAAAGAGGCTAATCCATTTACGCAGGTATAACTGGGAATAGAATATGTGAGGGATTGTATCAACAGAGATGTGTATAATGAAAAGTAACATCTATCCTTCTTTTGCATCGCTGAGCATTTCTGTTTTAGTATACTGGTTTGAAAATGTTGAATTTGCATGATTTGCAATGTGTTTTT